ACAAAAGTGAAATTGTATTTATTTATTTATTTAACTGTAAAGAGGAAATGCTTCAGTGATGAGGAAGAAGCATAGAAAACAGCAAAGCAGTGGGAGCAAGTTTAACAGTAACTGCTGTTCTGGAGCTGACACTGACACTAGCTACCCCTGCTGCTCACAAAGGAGTTAACTGATTTGGGTAGCTTAGACCTGCTTTAACTGAGCATTTTGGCCTATTAGGCTAAGTGTAAACAAGCTCTAAACACAACATTGACATATTATCACCCTATAACGTTCACATATTTGGTGGTTGCGTATTTACCTTTGGAATTCTGCTTGTGTCAACTTGATGAATGTAAGTACTGTTCACTCTCATTTTAGCTCTGGTTTGGCCTCCTCCACCTCCTGAGGGAAATACCTGGCTTTTGCAGTTAGCTGGCTGTAGCTGTTAAAGGCAGTGTGTTCAGTAGTTAGTTGTCTTGTGTTTGGTGGTGGGCAGGTATACTGTACAGTGGGTTTTTAAGAACTTGCTTACTGAAAACAGATGTTTTCAGTAAAAAAATAAGCAATAAAAAGATGAACCAGGTCATCATCACATGGGTATGACATCAAACCTGCTCAGGGTGCTGGAATTTACACATCCACCATCAGTGTTTGATGTCTGTACAAAGAAAAGCAAACAACAATACATCAGACACGGTAAAGGTGAGACATCTCGCTCTGGTAATGTTTATTGTTGGTTTAATGAGCGGTACAACAATCTGGGTGGTATATGTGTCAGTGTGCCACTTGCATCAGCTTAAAAAGTGTAATTCAGTTTTGATAAAGGTGGCAGCAGTGTTGAGAAATCACAGCTTTTTTTTTAAGTCATCAGCATACACAATATGGTGCTCCTTTATCGTTCCTTCACACGTGATTCAGTTAAATCTTAAATTGCTTCATAAAGGTGCTTGTGAGTAAAACTTTGAGTTTTCTGTTTTTGCACTAGGCATGTTTGCTGTTGGTAAGCAGCATGGATTTGGAATGCAAGTACTTGGGGGTTTTCTCCACTGTGTGTCGGCTCCCAGGCCTCTGTGTTCTTATTCTGTTGTTGTGGGCAACCTCCTCTCATAACATATCCAAACTGTGTTAGGTGGAAGCCACTTGCGCTCAAGGCAAAAACATTATACATATATATATATAATGTGTGTGGTGTGTGTGTGTGTGTGTGTGTGTGTGTGTGAGTATATGAAAAGTACAGTAGAACCAATATTGAATTCAGCATTTCTAGCCAAACCTTGAAAATGATGAAGAAAAAATGAAAGATCCTAGAAAAGCAGATAAAAGAAAAGGGACAGAGAAAAGCAGTAAAACAGAATGAGCGCTTACAGAAGGATCCCCAGGTTTTGTAATAAAAGTTCTGCTGACACTGAGTATTCAGTAGATTACACTTATATCTTAAGTACCTGCAGAGTGGACTTAGTGAAGAATAAGAAGGTTTTATCAAGGATTTAGGCCCATCTTTCAATATCTCTGTCCAGACTATTATGCAAACTTGACTTGAATAGATGAAAAGGACTAAACCAATGTTTTCATACTTGTTCTTACAGTTTTTTTTAGCTTAATGCTATCTTTAACACTAACATTTTGTCAGTTAAATCAATTTTTTAATCAGCAGTGCAGGAAAACAGTACGGTAAGCAATGAACTTAGACAAACTGAATCTTGTCTCAAAAATTACCAGTTTATATTATTCCTTTTTTATTTGCTGTACAAAAACTTTCAAAAGCAGTCTAAGCATATCTTAATTTCATACAACAGTTTACTTTAGTTAAATTCCTTATGGTATGAAGATACACCACAGTAAATAGTTGTCATCAGCAGACAGATTGCATCACCTAGAAGATTTTTGAAAACAGCCACAACTAAGAGTTGTACTTTCATCTTCGGTGGGAAAAATTTCACATCGACATTTACTGACTGAAATCAGAGGCTGCCTGCCTGCTCACCTCATGGTTGTATGCCTACAACAACCAGTGACCTTGACTTTTACCACCAAAATCTTGGTAGATGATCCTTCAGTTCAAGTGGACGTTTGTGCCAAATTTGACAAACTCTCCTGCAGATGTTCCTGAGATATTGGGTTTAAAAGAATAGGACAGACGTGATGTTGCAGTAGTGTCCTTGACACTTTATCTTTGACCACCAAAATCCAATCGGTTCATCCTTGAATCCAAGTGGATGTTTGTGCCAGATTTGAAGAAATCCCCCTCAAGGTGTTTCTGAGCTCTCGTGTTTATGAGAATGGACAACCCAAAAACTTAATGCCTACAATCACTGAGGCATTAAAATGAATTTAAAACCTACTGCTACTCTGCATGTTCAGCAGCAATGTAAAGCATAAGCTACACAGTTTGTATTTGAATCACGTGACAGACATACAGTAATGTATTTTTGCCTTCTACTGTACAAGAGCTTCATGGCCACGGTACTGATAAGAAAGCCTCTAAACACTTCAAATGAGCTTTTCTTACCTCGTGAGGGTCAACACATTATGATGTGTCACCATCTCTGTGATCCATGGACACATTTTTCCTGGGTTGGTGAGATGTTCATTAAGGCATTACTTTGTATTGTCCTTGGCCTCAGTTTGGGAGACACTGAATTGCTGACATCCTTTCTAGAAGCGTACTGCCTTCAGTCTCATACAGTAAACACACAGTCATGGGCATATACACATTAATAATGTTCCTCCTAATGAATTACAAGCAGACCTTGAGGCCATACACCTAGATCCCACTAAGGTCTGGCTTGGTGCCCAGTGGCAAGCCTCATAGCACAAAAGACAAGGGCACACAGACAGTTCTTTTGTCTTTAAACTGCATGCTTACTGAGCTTCCTCATCTACATAACAATTGTAGCATATGAATGCTTTTATTACTGCAAGATTCACTTTGCGGTTTTTCACAGGAAAATCACTTTTAATTTGGATCAAACTGTCAGTGTTGTGCATAATCAGAGTTATTTAGAGCTATCTGAAATGCATATAAAAGGCATGAGCAAAGTTCCAAGGTAATGTTGACAGGATCTTGAGAAGCTCTTTTTAAAGCAGTAACAGATGGCAGGTGGCACCTCGCTGTTGGCCCAACGGAGGAAGCTTTATCTCCTGTCAAGGTGAAAGGTCAGGCGCTGTGTTCAGCCCACAAATTACATATAAAGAGTTGAAGATCCAGAAGTTATGGCATTTAAGAATTTCTACAAAAATGTTATCACAAGCAAAAATATAGAACATTTCACAGGTTTATGACAAGAGGGAGGATATTTTACTGTATGTGTATTTTAAGTGTAGAAATATTTAAGATACCCAAATTTGACAGCGGTTTTGATTATTGATTGATCATAATATTTGTTATAAAAAGCTAAACATTTTCCCTATGTAGTAAATGTATGGATTTATTGCCCCCATTTTACTCTTTGACCGCTGGACTATCTGATCTGTAATCTGAAGACACCACCAGGCACTGGGGTTAGAGCAGTTTTTCTTTTTTCTTTGTTTTCAACTTAATTTACTCACTTTCTGACATTTTATAGACAATTAATTGGTCATTTGAAAAACATTAAACATGATAAAGAAGTAAAGGAAATCATTGAAACATTTGTCTGCAGCCCTACACTGACTATATTAAAGTAATGTTATCGATGAGTTAAATAGAGTATTATAATATACAACATATAGTTTTATGTCTTGAGTTCTGTCATTTCCTGATATCTGTTCTGCATGCTCCAGCCCTGCACCTGATGGCCTGCGGCACTGTTCAGCACAGCTCACATAACCCTCCCTTGCCACCCATGTCCTCTGACCCAGAGTCAGGGGGTTAATAACCAGCTGCGCTGAAAACCATTTGTCATTTGCTACCTGTCGCTGATAGGAGATGTCAGCGGATGTCTATGCCCTTGTCACCCAGCCACATGACAAATACTGTATCGAGCCTCGCAATCTGAGGCTCCCTGAGGCTTCTCAGTACTCCTCTACTGAACAACCTATCCCACTTGATAGCATTAGAGTCTTGTGCCATGATCCATAACGAGAGAAACCAGTGATCCCCCTGCTCTTTTTCATCTTCTTTTTACATCACTCCATAAATCGCAATTTAGTGGGTTTTTTAATCTTTTTTTTTTTTTTAATTTGCACAATTTCCCCTTTGCTTTGCTTTTAAATGTTTCCAGATTTGATATTGGATACTTATTTCCAGCACTGGCCTGGAGCTGATGGTTTTATATTGGTATAAAATGTACTATGAATGATGCAGATGAGAAAAGGACACTGAATGGTGAAACAGCATTTCTACAACCGCTCTGGACATATAAATTTTTATTGAGCTTGTTAAACACATTGTCTTTCCACTTGTAGAGTTTTTTTTGTGTGTCATTGTTGGCTTACAAAGAATAATGTAAACAAATGGATATTAATATGAATAAAACGTTTTCATTTGTGACTCATTTTGGTTATAATTGAAGTGTGATATTGAGTGTGATAGCTGAAACATTTGTGATGTTTGCCACTTATGTATTTATCTTTTGGGTAGAAAGCAGGGCAGGACATAGAAGTCAAATAAAGGTACTGGGCCTTAAAGGATGAAGTTATTTTGATTTTAGACTAAACTCTGGATAATATCATGGGTGAAAAGGTTGTCATCATAAAGATTTCATCAAAGCAGCAAAACAATGTAATGGCTTGACAGTAACACTTACTGAGCCAGCTGCACAACTGCACAAAAATTATTACAGCCTAAGTCTGTCCAGCTATTCAGGAGTTCAGAGTATTTAGTGTTGATGTGTGCTGAGACAGAGCACCACAATAGAATACTAATGGAATAACCTACCAGTCATTTGCAAACTTTGGTTTGTGTTGTTGATGTTTTTTTTCTTTTTAATTTTCATAGAATGCAGTTAAGAAGACATGTACTATGAACAGACACATTTTAAATGTCAGCTTGATCTCACAGATGGTTTACCTCCTCCTTCTCGTCTTGTTTTCTGCAGAGATGTCGGGTACTGTAGAAGATATTTCTCAGGTACATTGGAAACAGCAGTGGTTGGAAAATGGGACCTTGTACTTCCATGTGTCTACGACTGAGACTGAGCTTCAAACCCAGACAACAGAACTCACAACCCGGGAGCCTGCCCACGTCCTACATGAACACATGCATCTCCTACACATCTCAGTTATGGTAAGTTATAAACACTGATGCACAGTAATTGTTGTTGTGAACAGACATACAGACAGGTATCAATACATTCATGGCAAGGTAACTGCATGTATGATTTTTGTGGCTGAGTGTGACTGTCCTCTAGCCTATGTGACAATCCAGTGTTATGTGTAGCTGTTTGTTGCTGGTGTTTGAACCTTTTTGCTTCTAGTGTTATAACAGTATGTGACACTTGAAAAGGAGTGTCATATAGTGTCATAACTAGCCAGTGTGGACATTTTATTCTATATATGATAAGATTTTTCTCTTTTGTGGTTGTCATACTGTATGAATTTTTGTCAGGCTTATGTTCACACCACAAAGTTGCACAGCACAAACTAGAGTGTGACTAGTAGATACTGGCGCTAGTCACTCAATATCCCCGGTCTCAATACTGTCTGTACGCCCTTTCTCTGTTGTGGTTTGCACTTCAGCAGAGGAGGTCAATTAAAAGTTGATGGTGCAATACTGCTAATGGCTGCAACAGCTTCCTCCATTTTGGACTGTCCTGCTTTTCATTACCCAAAGGTCAACAGTGCCAATAGCAAGCACTGACAACTTGTTATTGCTCAATGGCATGAATTTGCATTTGGATGTGCATCCATGCATCTTGTATAAAGCCTTATTAACAGGAAGCACCTCTGATACAGTGAGAGGAAAGAGTAGACAAGAAGTCGGATGTGGAGGTTAGGATCTTCAAATATGAAGCCAGTCTGGTGAAGGCACAACTACAGTTGTGCAGCTTAAACAGTGATGCACTTGGGATATTACTTCCTACTCATAGGGTGCTGGTTAGGCAGACATTGATCGATGGAGAACCAGAGTTTTCTTTATATCCAAGCTTAAGCCCGGTGGTGTTTTCTGCCATGCTAGAGCTCTATGACATCGGTGTATAAAAATTTGCTATTGCTTTAAATCTACTGTGGCAGAAGTTCCCTTTAGATTTTACTGTTAGGACCAACCTCTATACTTTTCCAACCTTATGTGCTTTACTGACCTCCTCTCTTTTGGTTGCCTTTAAAAAACATAAATAAATAAATATTTGGTAAAGTCATCTCACCTATATGGATGTCAGCACTTTTAAAGAAGTCCTTTATGTCTTCTTGCTAAAGTTCCATAAATACTCTGGGCTGTGTTTTTACAGCTCCGTCCTCTCCCAATCTCTGTTCTTGTCAATTCACCCCTTCACTTTCTCCCCATATTCTAACTTTTCATGCCTCCAGTCTCATGTTTTGCACCTATTCTCTTGTTGACTTTTTCTATACCTCACCTCTCCTTGCACATCCCACAACCTTCTCTATTTCTGTCTCTCCCTTCTACACCATGCACCATCTCTTCGCTCTATCCACCTCTGTGTTATCTCAAACCTTATCACCTCACAGCCTCAACTTTTCCCCTTTCACCCTCAGAACTCTTGAAGTGACACTTGTGTAAAGGTGTGAATAAGGCTGGCATAACACTATGCCATGGAAAGTGACACAGAGAAGAATTAAATGTTCTGAATGAATGCATGTGACAGAACCGACACCGCACCGACAGACACTGTGCGTGTCCTTTACTTAAACTGCTATATTGTAATAACACTGCAGTTCTACATTTTTCAGCATTTGTCTAGTTAATTGCATAATGTTGCGTACAACATAATCTCATTTTTTATTTTAGACATTGCTGACATTAAGTAACAAAGTTTCCATGGTTTATGTATTTATATGGCTAGGATTCATCGCTCTTGCCGCTGCAGCCCGGGTTCGAATCAGGGTTGCATCAGGAAGGGCATCCAGCGTAAAACACATGCCAAATGTCAACATGTGACTCGTTAGTGTGACAATGCGCTGTGGTGACCCCTAACGGGAAAAGCCGACAGTGGCATTCATTATGCATTTATGACAGGCTGTGTTCCCAGTGCCAAGTTTTTATTTATATATTTTTTTAGGATTACATCACCTAAAGACAATAAATGTCCACAAATCTGAACTTAGCTTCATGTCTTCTGATTATTGCCTTATGCATATGTACTCGCATACTCTACTATATGTTAGTTGTACCATTTCAGCCCATTTTCACTGTGCACCTCACAACCCTTCTTTTGATGCTCTCTGTGTGTTTGACACTGATTTTAGGAAAGGTTTTTATGGGGGGAGACTGTGAAATTGACCATTTTCTGACTTTAGAACAGCCTTTTTCACCTCAAATATTTGATTTTTATATGAAAAGCACAGGTGTTAACAATAGCTCTATTTGTTTCGAGTGACCCTTAAGCTATGTCAGTCTGACAGTGAGCCAGCATTTTATTATTTACATCTGATTTTTATGTTTTTACTGTGACTTGCTTTTTCATGAAAAAAGCCTACTGTCAAACCCTGTGGTGTTCTTGATTATAGAGTAAAACCTTCTAAATCTTAATTGTGATTTGCAAATAACTTGTTTGCATTTCTGTCAGATTAAAATAATAAGGAAATGCAATATATGATACGGTATCAAGTATCTTCTTCATCTTCAGTATTAAGTCCCTGTTACAGCTACAGCTGAAGGAGTTCACCTGCAAAAAGCGATGCCATTGTTAAAGAACTGAACTACAGTCATACGAGTATGTTCATGGTTGGAGGTTTTGTGGTCTGGTTGTGTATGGTATGACCCTGCAAATGTGTAATATGCTAATTAATTTGCAATTTGTGGAGATTCTCAGTCATCCAGGTCATGGTATTTACAAAGTGACCATGATTATTACTGCTCTCACATTCTCCTTGTCTTGACGTCATGTTACTGTCTTCAGAGCAACATCTCATATATCTTGATAACTAAACACTGCTGAACTTTCTTCCTTTTTGTACTCCTATCCCCCTCATCTTCAGCTAATTCCCACCTTTTCGACACTCATCCCATTCTTGCATTCTGAACATTTGATCGGTGCTAGATAAGAGTTTCGAGTGGTAGTGCATAATGCCTTATATCTTGATTCTTATGCATTCATGCAGGTGTGCTTTATTAGCAGTGTGATCTCAATCTGTATCATAGGGGAGTTGTTTTTATCTTATCCTATGGGCTAGCACAATGTAAAGAAGGGGGATGAGAGGGAAAGCATATCAATGCAGCCAGACTCGGGTAGTAGGCACACCAGTTGGTCTTTATGGCCCTAAGGTGTCTTTGAGTGAACATCATTATGTCTGATGCTGTCAGTTCTGGGCAAGACTTGAAGTGTGAGCACTCTATTCTTTTGGTATTGAGCTGTCATTTTTTTTTTCAATCATTCAAACAATAGTTTTCCCAACTATCTCTGTTTCGTTGTCCTTCCCCTACGCTGTCTCTCCATCATATGACAGCCGCAGACTGGGACAGGTATCAGTTTTACTACAGGTTAAAATGACAGTCACCTGGCGTAGTGATCAGATAGATTTGATTTTTTCACTGTAAGAATGCTTTTCTCTAACAGTTGAACAGGTTTTAGCAATGCCCCACAGTATGTTGATTATTGCATTAGATATTCCTTATTTTTCTTCTTGCCAGAAAGCTTAGTGTGTTCAGCGTTTATTTAACAAAGGGTTCCTGTCATGACTTGCATCAAAATATGTAATTCCTACAATGGTTGTGTCTGCATTTGTAAGCAAAGTACTTGACTTGACAATGCATATATATTTTGAGTGCTTACAAAATTGTGTTCACTACCCAAAGGGAAACATTTCTTTCATGCAAACAGCCCATGTCCTTTCAGTGTCCTTGCAGTTTTTTGTTTTAGAGACTTAAAGCAGGGACTTCAACTTAAAGTTATCTGATGCTTGACACACAACAGTTTATGCCTAAAATGTATCACAGTAATCCAGAGCATCACAGCACGCTGTGTATTTACTGGGCGATGACATAGTGACGGTATATTTTAAATGTCTGCGTTTAGTTAGAATTCCCTAAAAAACTCAATACTTATCAATGATCACATGACTTTACATCTCAAAACCTTTTTCAAGCCAGTTTCCAAACATATCCATTCCCATATGTTCCTTAGTAACGTAATCACCTTTATTTGGCCAAGTATGTTACACACAAGGAATTTGTTTCCGATACAGAACCGAGGCAGCCATCTGCGGCGCCAACTCAACCAATGGCTCTAACCATCGGGGGCAACTTGGGGGTTCAGTGTTTAATTTCAATTAAACAAGCACAGTTTAATTCCTTTGCTTACTTCATCTAAAGAAAAAAAAAAAGATCATAGAAATGTGGGTCTTTGCTTTAGTTCACAGATGGAGATGGTTGCTGCCTGTGACATGCTGTGAGTTATGTCAAAAAATAACTTATGGCACTTCAGAGAGAGTCATACATTATGATGCACTCAGAATATACTGCTGTTTTCAAATGACTCTCTTCAGACCTTAGAGTACCATAATTTTAGTATACTGATAAAGTATATTTAAACAACATGTCAATAAAATGCCAATGAGGGGAGTTGCATCATTTGATGCTTTAAATACTTTGCACAGGCTTGCATAGTCTGTCTTAAAGTGTCAATTCATATGCACACATTACCTGAGTTTTCTATGTCTGACTAACAACAGTCAGGGAATTCAAGCATCCATCATAATCAAAGCTAATGCACATACCTCGAGTATTAATTCTTTTTGCTCCAGCACCATGTACTGCTCCCTAGCTGTGCATTGTTCATACATGTGAGGGATGTTTTAGAAGGATCCAAGCAGTGACTGAAAAATCACTGAAAGGGTAGTATTCTTTATATCAGTATTGGTGAGGTATTTCATTGCGGTTCCCTGCCGCCTGTCACGTCTTACTGGAATCTCAGCCTTTGTAATGAGAAGTAGAGTCTTAGTACCTGTGCTTTCATCATATGTACACTTTCAAAATGTGAACATTAAGGTTTGGAAATAACAGACCTACTTTATCACTCCCACTGTCACTCTCAATATCACACACACCCACACACAGACATAGAGAGATAGATTGAGAGAGTATTAAACGCCATCATGGGCAAAGATGAT